CTACTACTACTACTACTACTATGGAGATGGGCGATGTTGTCACGGCAATGAAAGCTTGCACCTGGTCTTGCCGCTTCCATTGTGAAAGCCTAGACTCTAGAACCCTCAAACCCTGAACCCTAGACCCCGAAACCCCTAAACCCTAAACCGTCCTGAACCCCTAAACCCTTGAACCCTTAAACCCTGAAGCTTAAACCCTAGAAGCTGCAAGTTGTCTTGCCAGGTCAGGGAGGAGGAAGCCAAGGACTTTGTGGCGGAGCAGAAGGAGCGGTCCAGGGTTCAGGATTTGGGGGCTTTACCCCTAAACCCTAAACCTGAACCCTAAAACCTAAACCCTAAAACCTAAACCCTAAAGCCTAAACCCTAAAGCCTAAACCCTAACCTAAACCCTAAACCCTAATCATTGGGCTCAGAGGCTTTTTGAAGCTGCAGTCTTTCGGGGTTTGGTACTGAGGGGGGCTTTGAAGAGCGGTCCAAAAAAAGCCCTGTGGGTATTGTGAAACAGACCTCGGTGCTGAAAACCAACAACCTGGTAACCCCAACCGTCCAGACCTGTAGGGTTTAGGGTTTAGAAACCCAAAACCCTAAACCCTGGACCCTAAACCCTGAACCCTAAACCCTTCAAGCCCCAAGACCCCAGAGCGCTCCACAGCGACCATCCAGACGCCTCGAGCCCCTAAACCCTCAAGCCCTCCACGGAAAAAACCGTTGCTGACAGGATTACGCGGATTCCCTGGATGCCCTCGATCGGGCGATTGAGGCTCTGGACAAGCAGGTGGGGCGAGACCCTATAGAGCCCTGAGCTCCGAAAGCCCTACACCCAAAAGAGCGTAAACGCTTGAAAGTCTTAGAACCTCCAAAAGTTAAACCCTAAACCCTAAACCCTAACCTAAACCCTAAACCAAAACCTCTGAGAAGCGCCTGAATAGATCTGAGCTCCTTTCCAGCGGAAGAACCGAACGCCCTGAGCCACAGACCTTCAGCTCCAGACGCCGAGCATCAAAACTTGAAGCCCAAATCCGTAGCAGCCTCACGCCAAACCCCAAGCCCTGTATAAAACCGTAAAGCCTTAGCCCCAAAACCCAAAAAACACCCTAGAGTTTAAGTCCCAAGCCCCAAAGCTTCAAGGGTTTAGGTTCAGGGCTACATCTAAAACCCCAAATTTCCTTGAACGGCAAAGCCCGAAAGGCCCTCCACAAGAGAATGCCGAACACATCCCAAACGCCCTGAAATAGCATTGCCTGACTCAGAACTCAACAAACAGGGTCCCCAAAAGCATAGACAGCCCCAAGGAACCCGTTTCAGACCGTTCCAAAACCCTGATACAACTTTCATACACCCTTCTGATTTAAAGAAAATCTTTGCCTAAGGATTCTGAATCCCAGACCCTTGATCCTAAACCCTAAACCCTAAACCCTAAACCCTAAACCCCAAGCATTGACCGCAGGACTACAGCCGACCGCAGGCCGGTGAGGCGCGCCACCTGCGCCGCTTTGGTGTGTTGTTTTGCGCGTAAGGGTTCCGTTTAGGGTTTAGGGTTTAGGGTTTAGGGTTCCGTTTTATAAGGGTTCTGTGGGGTTTTGCGAGGGGTTCATAGGGGAATTGCCGGGTTTAAACAATCTTTACGGAGTTTATGAGATTTTTATGGTTTTTCCGCAGGGTGTGCAGGGCTTGATGGGGCGTTCTAGGGTCTTAAGTGTTAAAGGTCGTAAGGATTCTACAGGGTGTGGGGTTTAGGCTGGATGGCTTTGGGCTTTCTTTTGGAAACGAGTTCCGGGCTCAGGCTTCCGGGTGTGGGGGTTCAGGGTTATAACGTTTCGGCGCAGGGTTTTAGGATTTTACAGAAGCCATACCCCAAAAAACCCTGCTCAATGATTCAGATTCAGACCTCCGTATTAGCAGTTCAGGGAATGTTGCTGCACCGCCAGGCTTTTGCCCAGTTTGCTGCTTCCCTCGGCGCTTCGCGGGGTGCGCAGGCCAGGGTGCAAGACTTATGTCCGACATGCTTCAGCTATTAAGGTATAACTATAAGGGGATTGTATGGGGTATGAGGGTGCTATAAGGGTGCTACCAGTCTTGTCTGGGAGCTCATGAGCTTGGCTTAGCTAATAAAATATTTGAGACCACCTTGATGTGTCGAAGAGACAAGCTGACCCGACTCCAGGACATTCAAAAGCTGGTCCGGGCCCCCAGTGCGGGTTTCATCGGCGAGCTCCGCCGGTGGTCTTGGTTTTAAGTCTCGGGATTTTGAGCAAGAGCCTCGCAGTTTGGGTTGTGCCCCTCTTCTTGCCGAGGCAACTGGGGCAGCCCCGAAGGCCAAGGCTTACGTGGCTCGGCGGGGAATGGAAGAGAGAGTGGAGTCCACAGAGCAGACACTCAAACTAAACGTCGAGCTGGATGTTAGGACCATCGGTGGTGCTGGTGGCGGCGTCGCGGTTGTGGTGGCGGTGACGGCGTCGTCGTGGTGGTTGGGGCTGTCTCGTCGTCGTCGTAGTAGTAGAGAAAAATCCTGCGTCGATCTCTTCCTCTGCCCCCTGATCTTAATGTGTGGGGAAGCGCAGCACAGGTCCTGACAAACATATATACACGCTCAGTTAGGTCATGCAGGGTGTTTCTAGTTGTCGTCGTCGTGGGGCAGTAGTGGCAGGAATGGTAGTGGTGATAGTCGTGGTAGTAGTGGTAGAATGTGGCAGAAGTAGTGGTAGTTGTTGGTAGCAGTTGTGGTAGGTAGGTAAGTAGGTGGGTGGGTGGGTAGGTAGGTGGGTGCGCGACAGGTAGTTAAGTAGGTAGGGGGTATCGGTAGGTGGGTGGGTGGGTGGGTAGGTAGGTAGTGGGTACGTAGTAGCAAACTGTCAGGAGAAGGAGTTGTAGTGGTAGTTGTCGCCATCGGGGCAGCATGAGGAGGAGGAGCAGCGGCACAGCAACAGATAGAGTGGCAGTGGCAAAAGTGTCAGCAGCCCCAAGGATTTCCAGTCGGGCAACATTACGACGATGCTCAAAGCGCTGAAGACGAAGTTCTACGAGGCCTGACCCGGAAGCCACCACAGGCCGCTCACCCTACGACATCCGAAATTCTGTGCGTTATATCGCCATGAGCCACATGTTTCATAGTCAAACTATAGTTGTATAGTGTTCAGTTTTAGTAGCATAGGCATAGTAGATAGTAGGTAGTACATCGTATATAGGACATGGAACCCACAGCCACGGCAGACCTCACGTACAAAGCTTGGATCTTGATTCAGGAGAAGGTAGCTCTGGAGAAGGCTGAGACGTTGCTGGACCGCAAGCAGGGAGGTTGAACGCGCAGGTCCTTGAACCAACCTCGCGTAGCTTTCCGTTTGCAAGAGTTTGGATGCATATTCTATAGAACCTTGACCTCTATATACTGTATACTATATATACAGTATATAGTAACATATAGTATATATACATATACATATATATATATATACATACACATTTGATATACTATATATATATATATATATACTATATATACTGTATATAGGATATATGCTAGATACTCGGCATGCTCGGTGGATCGTTTTGCCAGAGGGCTTCATGTCATTTCTGCTGTCTAAACCTTTCCTGATGAATCTTCCGGCAGGTGAAGTCTATGCGTCCATTCTGACAGTAACAGTTAGCTCCGACTTGTTCCTGTTACAAGAGTCCCAAATCGCTTGTTGTAGAATGCCATACCCCAAAACCCCAGAAGTAGCATTCTCCATCCCGACCGTGCAAAACCAAGCCCGACTACTACACGACAAGCCCTCAAGCCTCGATATCCAAAACTCTGCGCGCGACTCTGGCCCTAAACCCCTAAAGCCTTAAACCCATAAACCCCTAAACCCATGAGCCCCTAAAGCCCTAAACAAAAACTGCAGCGAGGTCCAAGGCCCACAGCCATGAGCTGATGGTCCAAAGCCTCAAGAGCCAGGCGGACGCCGAGAAGCAGGCTTGGCAGAGCGCCACGGAGTGGCATGGGAGCTTCCAATTATGATTTCGTTCTATGAGTCCATTAACGCGGTCGGTTATGGGGTTCTAATCCTAAATAACTTCGTTACGCTGGAAGGATCAGTCCCGGAAAGCGACGCTGAAGAGCAAGAAGCTGGCTCTGAAGGCGTCGCTGGAGGCGGGCGGTCTCTGGGTTCTCTTAGGCTTCAGCGCACCATGTCATGTACAATTTATTAAATTTAGTACTCTTTCTCTCTCTCTCTCTCGCTGTCTCTCTCTCTCTCTCTCACGCAATAGAGGCAAGTATATATACATATACCAAGTACATCGGAGCTTTGAAGAATCTGCCTGTTCGCCTGGCTGCCCGTCTTGTAAGAATGCAACTGCACCTACTGGCAAGCGCGAAGATGATGGTGGTGATTGTTAGTGTGCACCGTCGGACAATGAAAGCAATTGGCGATGGTTAATGTAGGGGCCGTGATAGTTAGAACAGGGTTTTTTGGGGTATATTCTACTATAAGTATAATGAGGAACTCCCAAAGTAGTATTGGAAACTCTTCAGGCCCTCCTAAACCCTGAGCCCTAAACTTTAGAGGACCCTTCAGAACCCAAAACCAACCCGTCGTGCTCCCACCGATGAACCGATACAGGGCCTCCTTATACCAGACGAAAGCCTGTTTGTATCTCAAGGAAGCCTGCCGGAGCGGAAGTGGGTTGCACAGGTTCCAGTGAATCCGAAACCTCAGAATTCTAAACCCTCAAGACTCAAAAAACAACCCTAAACCCCAAAACCCTAAACCCTGAACCCAAAACCCTTCGACCCTTCAACCCTACAACCCTAAACCCTTAGACCCTGGATCCCGAACCCTCGAAGCTCTGAAGTCGTAAACCCTCAAACCCCAAAACCCTCAATGAAACCTTAAACTTGAAAACCTGGAAGCCTAAACCTGTATACCTGTATACCCCAAAACCCAAAAATTGCTCTGCCGCCCCACGGAAGTCGCCTGAACCCCGAGCTCCCGATGCAAGTTGAACTGTTGGGTTCTGGCGGTTTAGGTTTAGGGTTTAGGGTTTAGGGTTTAGGGTTTAGGGTTTAGGGGGGCTCTTCCCTGCGTCCGCCGCGACCCCTCTGCGGTGCGTCTGCAGGACGAGAAGAACACGGCCACCTCCTCGAAGGCCGAAGGGGGGCGGGGGGCTCCAGGAGGCTTCGAGGCCTCGGTTCTTCAGTCCTTGTCCCCTCTCAGCCCTACTTGGAGGATCATGGGACTTAGTAAGTAAGGCTATAAGTACCCTAATTGGGGTTAGAATTATAGCTACCTTATTCATAACCCTAGTTACTAAGTCCCATGATCCTCCAAGTACAGGCCCTTACTGAGGCCTGCACTTTACATCTCCCCCACCCGGGCCCTCCGGACCTGGGACCGCTTGTGTCCAGGACGCCGACACCAAGTATCTCGACGCACCGGCCCCGGCCGGCTCTCTCCTTGAACGGAAATCTTTAAAAAGACCCCAGGGAAACTGGCTGAGAAGACCCCCCTTTTAGGTTCTGAAGCTGCTTTGGTGTTGGGGAGGGCAAGGGAGAGGGTTGTCGTCAGTTGCCTCAGCCCCTTGGGGGTGTGCTTGTGCATGCGGACTTGGTGTAGGCCAGGATCATCACACTTCAAAAAATCTTCGAACCGCAAACGCGCACGTCCACACTACATGCTCAGACTAGGGTTCCTGCAAATGGTTCTTGGAAGGATTATACAAGGTACTACACGGGTTACTAGAAGGGTTACTGTAAGGGTTGCTATAAGGGCTGCTATAATAATGGTTGTTATAAGACTCTACGGGTTAGCCCTACACTTGCTCTAAAGCTCAAATTAAACTCCAAACCCGATCCCTGAAACCCTGAACCCTACTATAAGGTTTCTTCAAGGGATCCTATAGTAGAAGCCCAAAAGTTGGAAGCGCACTATTTGTCCGTAGTCCGGTTTCCAACTTTCAAGGTTTACTATACTACTATAGAGCCCTTGTAGAACCTTCACCCCAAACCCAAAACCCAAAACCTAAACCCTAAGCCTTACCGAACCTAACAGAGTCTCTTTAAGGGCTCATATGACAAGCCGCAGGGAAGCCCAAGCCTCGGGAGCGTCTGCCGAGGACGTGACCTCGACCTGCCGCCAAAAGGCGACAGCCGACGGGGGGGTGTTTGGGGAAATTGAAAGAATTAATTAATATAGGTGCCTGAATAATTACCTATACTATTTTGGGGAAGTTAAAGAATTAATTAATATAGGTGCCTGACTAGTTACCTATACTATTTTGGGGAGATTGAAAGAATTAATTCATGAATTAATGAAGAGAATATGAGTGAATGAATGAAGAGCATGGTTAGTAATTAGCAATCGTAACGACAATATGGACAATACTAGTTATTGTTATTATTGTTGTTATTGTTAATATTACTGTTATGACCATGATTGTTAATTCTACTATTGTTATGGTTTCGATTATTGTTATTATTGTTAGTAGTGTTATTACAGTTATTAGTTTTGTTGTCAGTATTATATTATTAATATCAATTGCACTTTTGTTGTGATCATTATTGCTGTTATTCACATTGATGTATGTATGTATGTATGTATGTATGTATGTATGTATGTATGTATGCATGTATGTATGTATGTATGTATCAATCAATCAATCAATCAATCAATCAATCAATCAATCAGTCTATCTATCTATCTATCTATCTATCTATCGATCTATCTATCTATTTATTTATTTAATTATCTATCTATCTGTCTATCTATCTGTCTATCTACCTACCTACCTACCTACCTATCTATCTATCTATCTATCTGTCTATCTATCCATCCATCCATCTATCTATCTATCTATCTGTCTGTCTATCTATCTATCTATCTATCTATCTATCTATCTCATGGTTGGGTTGAGAGGGTTCCTGTGAAAGGGTTCGGAAAGCGTTATCATGAGGGCTAGTATAAGAGTTTCTAGGGCTCCCCTGTCAAAGGGTTTCCATACGGGCTATTATAAAAGGGTTTGGGGTTCAGGGTTCCGGGATGGGGCTTTGAGGCTGCGGCTTTAGGGATCAGAACTTTAAGAGGAACCCTAAATCCTAAACCCTAAACCCTAAACCCTAAACCCTAAACCCTAAACCCTAAATCCTAAATCCTAAACCCCTATGGCCCCTATTTGTGTTGGATGGTTTCAGGTTCCGGACTTCACGGTGCAAGCCGGATTGTTTGGACGGGGCGTGCCTACTATAGGGGTTGGGTTTTTTTCGTGATAGTATGCTTTTTCGTTCTTAGTACAACTATAGTATAATCTCCGCCAGACTTTTTTGGCGGGGTTCTGATTCTATTCCAAGCATTTAGGCACCCGCCCGCCCTTTCCAAACCCTCTAGTACAACACTTTCTGCCACGTGATAACCCGAAACTTAAATCCTGCAAACATGGGAGCTGCGAGGCCGCCGACTTCGAGTCCAATCAGAAGATCCGCAGCGAGGAGCTGCAGGTGTCTTTGATTTGGATGGGATGAGGGGGCGGGTTAGGCCTAGGGTTCAGCTTTTGTAAATTTTACCTTCCAGAGCTTGACGAATCAGCGAGTCTCCAGCCGAAGTCCGAGATCAGACCCCCCCGGGGCGGTTGAGAAGGACTAAGCCGACTAAGCACTTTGATTGGATGCCTGGTCAGGCTGTGCAGAAGGCCGTGACTGTCGTGTGCGGTGCTGAGCATCGCGGGTCTTTTTGCGCAAACTCCAGCCTTGAGGTCTCGGTTTATCTGAAGCCCAGAAGACCGACCTTCCTAAGCCGTCTACTTGGAAGGTCATGGGACTTAGTAAGTAAGGTTATAAGTACCCTAATTGGGGTTATGATTATAGTTACCTTACTTATAACCCTAATTACTAAGTCCCATGATCCTCCAAGTATGCCGGTCTGTGCGGCAAGGTCCCAGAAGTTGTCCTTGCTGGAGGTGAAGTGGAGGAGCCTCCTCCAGGCTCAAAAGTGTCGCTGAATCTGAGGTGTTTTTGTTGATATAGGGGCCTTTAGAATTACCTATATTATTTTGGGGGTTCCTTATTGTAATTATAGTATAATGGGCCCCAAAGCCCTATTCTAATTACTGGCGTCCAAGACCACGAAGACATCGACCGACACCACCACCGCCGCCACGGGAACGAGGAAGGACATTGACGACGACAAGGACGAGGAGGAGGAGGAGGCCGAGGAGGCGGAGGAGGAGGCGGAGGAGGAGGAGGGGGAGGGCTTAGTCGCACATCACAAACACCTCAACCTCCTCTTGCTGCCTGCAGCCGCGACTGTTGGCGCTCCAACAATCGGAACAGACACGGCAGCAATACTATCAATGTCAAGTATTGCCAGCAGCAGCAACATCTGCCAGCTTGCCAGGTGAAGCGAAAGCAGGCCGGTGTGTTGTTCACGCCGTTTTTGCATTTCTTGGTTGAGTACTACGGAAGGCAATGGGCTTCACGTTTGCTAGAGACTCTGGAAGTTGTTGGACGTGTTGTGCAGACGGGACACTTGCGAAGGGCAGTGTGCCCAAGCCCGTTTACCGAACTTTACATCACCGCAGCAGGGTCCGGCATATGTATACGCAGTTACAATTAGTTATCATGACTTACTTACTACTGCTACTTTGGCTGCGGCTATGCATTACCGTTGTTCTTGCTATTCCTCCGGACCACGGCTTAAATCCTAAACCCTAAACCCTAAACCCTAAAACCTTGTCATGGCCTTCATCGCAAGCCATCTCCTGCAAGCAAGCGGGCACGGATCTGCCAGGGCTCCTCCTTGGCCGCGCTCCGCCGCCCCGGCACCGACCTGGTAAAGGTGGGTATCATTGGGATCATGGGACCTAGTAAGTAAGGTTTATAAGTACCCTAATTGGGGTTATAATTATAGTTACCTTATTTGTAACCCTAGTTACTAAGTCCCATGATCCTCCAAGTATCATTGGGGATTGAGTTCAGGGTTCAGGGTTTATGGCGACGTAGTAGTGCCACTGTACGCGTCGTCCATATCGAGCTTTGCCCGTTTTGGATTCTGGTATTTGGGTATGTGAATATTATATTTTGTGTGCTATTGGGGTGGTGGTTTCGGGATTACTCAGAATGGGCAAGCATATGGCTGACTTAAACACCCTACAGTGTGGCCCTACAGCCCCAAAACCCCACACCCTAAAACCTCAAGAAAACCGCTGACCTCAGGCCCACAGCCTAGACCCCTAGACCCTGAACCGAAAAAAGTCCCTCAGGCCCTAAGACCCCTAAGACAGCCTTGACATGGGGCTTTCACGAAAATAGGGGTCTCTAATATAGTACCCTAAACAATGGGGTCCTTATATTATTATAAGGATCCCAAAGTAAGGTATCCCTTTATTTTCAGAAACTCCCTAACCCGAAACCCTAAGCCCCCACATAAATAGTGGGGTCCTTATAAGGATTCCCAGAATAAGGTACCCCTTATTTTCAGAAACTCCCTAAACCCGAAACCCTAAACCCTAAACCCAAAACCCTAAACCCAAAACCCTAAACCCTAAACCCTAAACCCGAAGCCCCCGCCTCAGGCGAAGGTGGTGCCCTTCCTCGCGAAGGAGGCCCAGCGCCTCCACAGCGCGGCGCGGCGCCCGGGTGCTCCGGGGTCTCTAAGTGCAGCTTAGATCGCAATGTAGGGTTTCGGGTTTAGGGTTTGGGGTTTCGGGTTTCGGGTTTAGGGTTTCGGGTTTAGGGTTCAGGGTTTCGGGTTTAGGGTTAGGGGTTTAGGTTTTTTAGTATAGCCTAAATGTAACCACACAACAACAGCATAGAATGGGAAAGAAGGTAGGGTTGGACAAGATAAGATATGAGAATATATGAGAAGATAGCAGAGGTTCATATAAGATACTGCAAGACGATAGAAGCCAATGTCGGATGGGACAAGCAAAACGGGATATTAAAGTATTTTGTAATGTCATGATCCTATAAGATAAAGTCACATGATATCAGATACACTAGTGTAGGAACTTCTAAGATAATAAAAGATGTTGCAACAGGGAACAACAGTCTAAGATACCATAAGATAGCCAAGGATAACACGATATAATGCGATGTCACATCGCATACTCGGGTAGAATTCCGTGAGCTCCACCACACTAGATTGGCCAATGCTCGGGAGCCGCAAAGGTTCAAACTAGAGTACTATAAGATAAGTATGCTATATTGTTATCCATTACATTGAGCTGTATACTAAGATCATACTAAATCGTGTTATATGAAAAATACTACATTGAACTAGACTCAGATGATACTACATCATATGGTATGAAAAATCTAAACCCTAAACCCTAAACCCTAAACCCTAAACCCTAAACCCTAAACCCTAAACCCTACCACGGTGCCCTTAAGAGCCCTGGGCCGGGAAGCGGCAAACGTCGGGTTTTGTGCGACGACGTGGAGCCATAGCTACGTAGGTAGGTTATCCCCTAAACCCTAAACCCTAAACCCTAAGTCAGGGTCCCTGTTGGGATTCTCTTTTGTAGGGTGCCGTACTATTTTTGGGCAGCTACAAGGGACCCGAATTTGAGTACACGTGCAGCCATTGCAGAGGCAGGAGAACGTGAGAAGTGTTGGTGTTGGAAAATCGGTAGAGCTGTTGGAGAACACCGTAAACGCCAGTGTCAATCAGCTTTTCGTCGGAAAGGCACACCACCCTCCCGAAGCCTCGCCAAAGCTATACATCCTCTGCGGAGAGGCCCTTCTCAACTTGGTCCAGCCTGCAGAGAGCGGATCCCTCGACGGGGTGAAGCAGGGCGCCCAGCCAGCCCAGATGAGAGCTTCAGGGTTTGGAGTTGAGGGTTTCGCGGCGTAGAGTTGTCTGGGCTGAAGAAGTGAAAATTTAAAGGTTGTCAGGACTTACATCCGCCGGGGGCGATGCTGACATGATGGCTGTGACGAGTGCTCTGCTATGGCAGTTCAGACGGCAGCTCATCCCCAATGATACTTGGAGGATCATGGGACTTAGTAACTAGGGTTATAAATAAGGTAACTATAAGTATAACCCCAATTAGGGTACTTATAACCTTACTTACTAAGTCCCATGATCCTCCAAGTATCAATTTTTGCTTCAAGTGGTTGGCACACCAAGTTTGCCCGCAGCCTACCAGAGCTTGACCAATTTCAAGCCTCAAGGCAGCCTTATAGGGGCTTTTATAATTGCTTACGTTATTTTGGGGGTTCCTGATTATAAATATAGTATAATGGGTCCCGAGACCTTATTGTAATTATTAAGGCCCCTACATTATCCCAGCTCGAACTTCCGTGCAGCCGGAGCAGAAGGTCACATCTCACTCAGATTCGAAGCTAGACAGGCAGGCCTCAAAAATCTGAATCTTCAAGACCGCACTGCAGATTTGAATCCGCAACTATGGGGGCCTAAATAATTACCAAACTAAAAAAAAGGGTCCATGGCATAATATGCCCCCAAAACCCTATTCTAATCATTAAGGCACCTTTTTGCGCCTCAAACGCCTGCCACCCTTCAGGGACATGGTTGAGGGCATGATCACGAAGCTGTCCAAGGAGGCGAGGTCTGCACACCGAAGCCGCGGGAAATAGCCATTGTTTGGCCCGAGAGTTTGAACCAACCCTGAACCCCTGATCCCCTAAAGCCTAACCCCTAAACACCTAAACATCTAACCCCTAAGCCCTAAACACCTAACCCCTAAACCCTAAACACCTACACCCTAAACACCTAATCCCCAAAACCCGAACCCTAAACCCCTAACCCCTAAACTGAACTCACAGCTCCACCTTCGGCTGTTTTGGACCTTTAGCCCTCAACACTTGAACCAAAGGAGATGGAGACTCCAAAGGCCTAAGGATTATATTGCTCAGGGTTTAGGGTTTGGGGTTTAGGGTTTAGGGTTTAGGGTTTAGGGTTTAGGGTTTATATTATCGAAGCCGCAATGATTACCAATAGTATTCTTCGGGCTCCTTATTATAATCAGTATATAGTATACCCCCAAACCCTATTCTAATAATTTTATTAAGGCCCCTAGATTACTTTAAAAATATATGCATATCCGCATTCTAGTATCAGGGATGCTCCTTGATGAAGGGTATTCTTAGTCTTAGAGGTTCTTGTGCTTTTTAAACGACAAGGCGGGATCCTCCTCATTGTGACTTGGGGCATCTTCCCGAAGCCCCAGACACCTAAAATCTTAAACCCGAAACCCTAAATCCCAAGCCCTAAACCCTAAACCCTAATATAGAAGCCGAGATAAGTACCTGTACTATTTTAGGGGGGTTCCTGAAGATAATAACACCATAAAGGAGCCCTAAACCCTATTCTAATTTCTAAGGGCTTTAGGAGGGACCCTTAATAGGGACCCTTGTAGGTTATTGGGGTTAATATGGAGACTACCTGGCTATATAAGGGCTATATAAGGATTATACAATGGTTATTTAAGGTAATGGGATTAGGGGTCCCTATTCGGGGTCCCTCCTAAAGTCCTCAGATAATTATGGAGAGGCCTAAACCCTAAACCCTAAACCCTAAACCCTAAACCCTTACATGAGTCTTTTCGGGTCTCTGGGGAGGTCGCGACCGACTCCGAGCAGCAGACCTGGTGTACCTCAGAGCTCAAGTCCAACGAGAAGACGCGGAGGTCTCCTTTAAGGGCTCCTTTAAGGGCTCCTTTAAGGGTTCCTTTGAGGGTTCCTTCAAGGGCTCGTTTAAGGGTTCCTTTAAGAGATCCTCTGAGGGCTCTCTAAAGGGTTCCTTTAAGGGATCCTTTGAGGAATTTTCCAAGCAACCGTGGGGCCTACGGCTCATTTAAAGGTCAGGGCTTTACGATTTACGGGTTCTTTTGGGTTGGGGTGTAGGTGGGTGGGTGGTTTGCTTCGAAAGCACATAAAGAGGCGCACAATTACGATCGTGCCTGAGAAGCCTTGCTCTACAATGATGGGGGTTGCGGGAGGATGGGTTCTGGTGTAGACAAGTGTGAAAGGGCTGCGCAGTGCAAAGAACTGGTTGAAGAAACTGCTAGGATGCTGGCAGGTACAAGTAGCAAGCACACGATAGCCAAACCGAAACCCAAAACACCTAAAGCCTCTTGTTTTCCAACAGCTCTAGCTCCCGCGCTATCTTGAGTCTTAAGCAACTCCCCAGGTATATACGGTATTCTCAAGTTTAGCATAATGTGCTCAGCTGCTAAATAATCAGGCCCATATTGCACCATTACCTTGTTGGGTTAAGGGTTTAGGCTTCTTTCTTCATGGGCTTTGGCGGGTCATGCCAGAAGACACCTTCCGTTCTATCGGCATCGGATCCTGGACAGATGGTCATATGGTCAGTACTGGTTGAACGAACAGGAAGAGAGCACGACATGTATACACAAGTTTATACACAGCTGTACAGGAAAGTAACATGTATGTATACAGTATGTTCACAAGCGATTTTACTTGCTTGCCTGCTTAGCTACTTGTGTGTTTCTTGTTTCAAAGTCTCCGTTCGTGGGAAGCGCGCCGCAAAAGAACAGCTCCTCACGCCCGGCCTGTTGGTGCAGTGCGAAGACGATCCTGGTCGACGAGCTGAATGCCGACATCGACCGGCTGCCTGTCTTGGGGCGATGGGTTCAGGCTTTGCCTTGGGATCTTAGATCTTCCTGGGGCTTGGGCTCTTCTCGGTTCATGTTCAGGAACTTAAGTTTAAGTTACCATAATAGGGATCTATAGCAAACAATAGGGTTTCGTTATTCTGGTAACTTAAATTAAATCCCTTAACAAGAACCCAGTCTTCCCTCAGCACTCTTGGGAGTTCGAGCTGTGCATGGAAATCGTGTCTGCTTGAACCAGCATTCGCGACTGCTCAGAGCCGTGTTGCTGTTCTGATGACGGCAGTCTTTATACGGTGGTTGCAAGGATTGCGGTGATGATGGTATGAACCCTACTTTCTCAAGGCTGCAGGCCAGCTTGCTGCAGCTTCGAAGGAAGGGCGCTGCAACCCAGAAGCCGCAATCCGCGCTGCCCGCACCCTCACGCCCCTCACCGCTGCAGCCCATTTCGACCAAGCTCCACATCCACAGCCCCAAAGCCCATACCCCCGCACTTTGCAGCTGACGGGTTGGAAGCAAACCCTAAACCCCCAAAGCCCACCGAAAACCCTTCACAACCTTAACGCCTAAAGCCCTAAGAAACACCAAAACCCCCAAAAAACCTCCAAACCCCAAGATAGCCGCAGAAAATCTGGGAACCCTCTCAACAAACCCTAAAACCCCACCGACAAGCACCCTAAACCCTAAACTCTAAAAAACCCTAAGCCCTAAAACCCTAAACCCTAAACCCTAAACCCTAAACCCTAAACCCTGCTAACCTGCCTGCCCCCTGTGGGCTCTCTGACTGTATGCAGTTGGAAAAAGGTGTCAAAAAAAAACCCTAAACCCTAAACCCTAAACCCCTAAAGCATCTGAGGCTCAATGCCTCGCTAATCTCTCTGGGCGAGGAGCGCTCTGCTCCCTTCTGCGGGATTGCCTTTAGGGTAAGAAGATGAGGGTCTAGTATTTTGGCGGTTTCGTCGGGTTTCTCAGGGTTCTGGGTTTCGTGGGGTTAAGGATTTCCGGCTTCGTAGGGTCGTTGGGTTTTGGGCTTCTTAAGGCTGTTTGGGTTCTGGGATTTCTTCGGGTTTCGGGGTTTGGGAGGTTTCTTAGGATTTTGAGATTGTGTGTTCGGGGGCCCGTGTTTTTGGGAATTGATTGGTTCAGAGTCAAGAGCCAGGGGCCAAGGGGATCCGTCGGCTTAATGTAGGGTTCCTTAGTATAATGAGAGGTATAATGGGCCTAGAAACCCTGTTCTAATTATTAAGGCCCCCATATTATGATGTGGTGTATTGCTGGGCTACGTAGGTTTGTGTTTTATGAAATGTCTGCGTCAGGGTTAAGCTTTGGGGGTATATCTTCTAGTGGAGAACCTGCGTGCATATGTACGTATAGATATGCACAAAAATACGGTATTGGACTATTCATACCAAACTTGGCTTGATCTTTTTTTGAAGAGGCTGTATGTGTAGCATCCTACAGTCGCGCACTGCATGGGCATGTCTTGGTGTTGTACTATTCGTTTTTTCACCATGACGGACAGGCTTGTTGTTTATTGCGTTTCTTTGTATGGTCTTCTTACTTTCTTTTCCGAGTCTATGACAAATCCGTAAACGTGATGTTATTGGTGGTGGTGTTGATCGTCGTGGCAGCGCTCCGGAGACCAACGGTTGTTAAACCTCAAGCAGTGGTGCTATTTTTCGGACGCTCAGCTAGAGGACTCCTAACATACCCCCAAACTTAAGAACCCGAAACCCCGCCTAAACCCTGATCTGAACCCTGAACCCTGAACCCTGAACCCTAAAACCCTAAACCCTAAGCCTTACATGCTAGCAAGCTCCTGAACTCCTTGAGCCCAGGACATCGTGACCATGGGCGAGGAGCTCCTGCAGCTGGACAAGGCTTTAAGATGATGTTGCAGAATGTAAGATGGGTTTAGGGTTTAGGGTTTAGGATATAGCATAATACACTTGAATAGAACATTGCCTTATATAACATCGTCTGTATTACATTGTAGGAGTGTTCGGGTTTGTGGGCGTTCAGATGCTGGAACGCAAAAGGCCTCAGGCGAGATTCCTTTAGCCGCAAGTGGACCAAAGTTTTCAAAGTCATGGCAAGTCTTCTACATCGTCCACAAGTTGGCGATGGATGTGCAGGATCGGTGCTGAGGTGTAAAGCAAACTTTAGCCGATAGCACAAACTATCCCAGAAGACTAAATGCGATACTGTTTTGTCTTTACTGTACTATAGTCTTCATATAATAATAATAATAATAATAATAATAATAGTCTTCATGAACTAGCGGCAAGCGGGGTGCCCCGGCGAGCCTGGGCAGAGCAATGGAGTGCAAGTCCAGAGCTCTGCGCAAGCTGCTGGCGCAGCTAAGTGCGCAAGAGGAGAGCTTTAACCATTTCGTCTCGGCGGAGGCCCAAACCCCAAACCCTAAACTCAAAACCTTA